CTGGTTCAAATCCCATTACTGTAGCTGGTGGGATTTAAATTGAATTAATAAATATGGAATTGACTGCTAATCTCAATAATGATGATAGTGACACCTGCCATCAGTAGCTGTAAAAACCCATCTGGTTCATTAATGTGCCATGGGAAAGGAAAATCGGTCATCCTTACTCGGTCTGGCCTACAGATACCTAGCAGTGTGGTTAACTCTTACCTGCCCAAGAAAATGTTCAGTTCAAAGGCAATTTGGGGTAATGTTAGATTTGCAAAAGAATGACCACATTCTGTGAAAGAAAATGTGGAAGTGTATTCCTTATGTTGACCCTAACAAAATTTTACAAGGCCACTTCACTCCATCAGGTCTGTTTTTTAACTGCACTTTTCAAAGGAAAAACATCAGAGCGTGTTGAGTCTTTCCCAATATTTATATCCTCTTAGTTCTGATATTATCCTTGCAAATCCTTTTTGCACTTCCTCCAGTGCTTCTACATCCTTTTTATCACGAGACCGGAACTGTTCCATGAGATACAAAGAAAGTCAAACCAAACTCTGAAAGTCTGCGAGTGAACTAGAACCACGAAGCTTACAAGAGCAACATAACTCTCGTAAGAGTGATCAGAGGAGTTTAATATATTTTACTGACTTCATATTGTTACTCTGATGTCACTTATCTTGGGTGGCACAGTCGCTCAGTGGTTAGCACTGCTGCCTCGCAGCACCAGGGACCTGGGTTCGATTCCACCCTCAGGCTGTGTGGACTTTGCACATTCTCCCCATATCTGCGTGGGTTTCCTCTGGGTGCTCCAGCTTCCTCCCACGATCCACAGCTGTGCAGGTTAAGTGGGTTGATCATAGATCATCGAATTCGTACAGTGTGGAAAGAGGCCCTTTGGCTCAAGTCCATACCAACCCTCAGAGCATCCCACCTAGGCCATCACCCTATACCCCACCTAATCCACACATTCCAGAACACTATTGGGCAATTTAGCATGGCTAATCCACCTAGCCTGCACATCTTTGAACTGTGGGAGGAAGCTGGAGCAGATTGGCCATGAGAATTGCCCATAATGTCCAGAGATACGCAGGCTAGGTGGATTAGCCATGGGAAATGCACAGTTACAGGAATAGGGTAGGGACGAGTGGGTCTAGGTGGGATGCCCTTTGGAGGGTCGGTGTGGACAGGATGGACCGAATGGCCTGCTTCCACACTGTAGGGATTCTGTCATTTCATCTATCTTTGACGTACTTTGAGTGTAAGCACAGAAAGCAGGGATCAAAGGTGTGAAAGTTGTTAACAATCTATGGCACGCTATTCTCACAGTGGAATTGTGCAGTGCGACATACCTGAGCACACATACCACATTATCTAACGTGGTGTCTCAATAAATCCTTGGCCATGTTACAGTGGCATGTGTGCGAGTATTCTGATGTTTAAAGTAACAAAACAAATTACAGCAAGGAACAAACTTTCAGGCCAGCCAGCTTGCTGAAAAGGGAGGGAATGGTAATAAGCAATCCAAAAGATTCTCTTGGTTAATCAGATAAAAACATCTGATCAGAACATTAAGCAATGAATAAATAAGCTGTTGATACACCCACCACTGCCTCCACTGCAGGAGAGGTATCACCAACAACCAGCAAAGCAGGACACCTGAGAGAAAACAGAAGGAATTAGAATTAGAACGAGGTTTTATTGTCACGTGTACTCAAGTAACAGGGATACAGGAGTACAGTGAAAACAGTTCACAGCGCCATCTTAGGTAAAGAGTAGAAAACTAAAGAAATAAGTTAAACGTTCAACATTACATTCCTTCTCTAGCCATGGGCCTGCACTCGCTCCAGGCTGGAGTTCAGTTGCACTCCACACACCATCTTGATGGGTCTGAATATTGTAGCCAATATTGGGATGTTAAAATTGAGAGATATTGTAAATTTAGTTGAGGCTAAAGACATTTGTGCAAAACACAAGGAAAACAAAGAAATCACTGATACTGGAATAAGGGGTGATGGGAATTCCCCAATTTGACAGCGAAGAGTCAGTGGGAACATTTCAGTGCTTTATTAAAGCAAAGTTGTAAGACATCTATGCAGAAACCGGGGAAGATTTAGCCTAAATGGGTTGGAAATCTACTGAGACACTGACAGCTTGTCTGCCAACATAATGTTATCACATAAACATTAGCCAGCAACCATCAGAAATGGTAAAGCACGTACACACAGCTGTCATTGTGTCTGGCAAACTGGTCTCAGGAGCTACTTTCATAAGCATTGCTGTTTATGAGTTTGTGTTTCCTAATGTGTTTTGTTTCCTAATGACTTGTGTTGTTATGGATGCTCCACAAGGGGAGGATTGAGAGCTGGCGCTAGTCTAACAAATCCTGTTTTCCCTCGGTTATAAAAAAAATAACAAATTACACTAAAAAATAAACCAAGCTCCTATAAAAGCCTTTGATATTGTGGAAATTTCCCAACACACATCAGGCAACGTGCAACATTGTGTTTACAAAGAGGACCTTGGAACATGGGAGGCCAAGATGGTTGACTGCTCAACTACCAAAGTTGGAGAAGGAGGACTGATACTATTGAAAATCAGAATTAGAAAAATAACACGAAATGAATAGGAGATGGTGGTGGAAGAGGCTAAATATCAGGGAGGGAGAAGAAACATCTCAATTTTAACACAGTGGGGAACAGGGAACGAATGGAGGCCAATGATGACAGGGACTTAAGAGGAGCAAGACTTCGCGCAGGATAGGAGGCAGACAGCAGAGCTTTGGAATGAATTAGCACTTGTGGATAATAGAATTCAGGAGGCCAGCAGAAGTCAGGTAAGGGAGAGTGTTGGCATCAAGATGAGTAACGTGTGGTGGAGGGGCTTGGTAGTTAGTGACTGCGAGGTAGACGGAGTTGCATTGTGCTGCAGAGGAGGAAATGGACAGCCTGGCCACTAAGAAGGATCATTCAATCCTACAGTTAAAATCTGCCATTATGCAGCCAATCAGATGAACAGTGTTTCTGTTTATCTACACAGGGCAAAGATAACAACAAACAATTATTTCAATGACGAACACAGGGCTGAATATGTTTATTTTAAATCAACCTATTTGTTCATCTTATGACACAGCATCGTGGTCATCAGGTGGGACTTGAATCCTGGCCTTCTGAACCAGAGGTAGGGACACTACCAGCTACGTCACAAAGCCCTGGGACTGAATATGTTTGTTTACAGTCACTTATTTATACATTTGTAAAAGCTAAAACAAGAAAGGACAAAATCACTGGTGGTTCAACTGAGGCATTGAAGTGGGCATTGAATGAATATAGGATTAAGCTAATGTGTCAGGAGATGGGGAAGAAGCAGGAGATTGGCATGGTACTCATTTAATGAGCTGGCGCAGGGTGGTTGGGCCGAATGGCCTCCTCCTGTGCCATAACATGTTCTTCTCTCACATCCACTGTCGCACAGAGCAGATCTGCCGATAAATTATGTTAGTCTCCTCGCCTGCTGGGTCAGTAGCATAGGGTTTAACCATACAGAGCAGGAAATCTGCCAATTGGAACCAGAAAACTGGAAAATGCCCAAACTCTGGTGTAACAAATTTGATCTGAAACAACGGCAGAATAAAACCCAAGCTTAGGTAGATAATGACAACAAAAAAAAAATTAGGCAAAGTTGTGATGCCACATTATCCACATTGGCCAGACTCTTAGCCTTAGACTTAATGTAACAAAGAAACAATTGGGATAAAACAGAAGACATTAGAATTCCTGATTCTTCTTCTTCTTCAGAGTGTAGAGGTTACTCTGAGTGGAATCGCAGAGATACCACTAAAGTTGCGAAGTTGGCACCTCAGTATCATGAATAAAGGTCTCCAAGATTTAATTGCATGGCAGAAAAAAAAATCAACAACTGATTGAAGGAGAAATTTGAAGAAAAACAGCATCTTTCAAGCTATGACCATGCTTGCAGTGGGTACGTCTGAGGCTCCAAGTTTAATTGACTGGAATAACTTAATAAAGTTTTTGCTAATCGCGATTACTACCAAATTTCTCTCCAGCCAGATGGTGAAGCAGCAGACCAGAAGTCAAGCTTTATGCAAATTTAGATTTACTTGCAAAGTGAGACATTATAACATGTAAAAATCCTAACTTTACAATCCACTGCCAGGGCTGATAAATATCTGTCTATACTATTTTGATCAAATGTTAAACAAATCAACAGCCCCTAAGGGCAATGCCCCTCAGACGTTGCAACTTTAAAAGGACACTTATTATGTCAATGAATAATTAGCCAATATTTACTGTCCACTGTATACATTTAATTTCTATAATTAACAGTTACTCACTGAAGCGTTTTAACAGTTGTTTCATTGACACCAAGAATGGGTCGTTCAATCTCCAGATCTCGACGACTGTAAATGTGGAGGAGAAGTACGTCATTATTATAAAACAAAGAACTGCGGATGCTAGAGATCTGAAATGCACATAAACACAAATTACAGCAGAAAATCAGCAGCATCTATGGACAGAAAACAGTAAATGTTTAGAGTCCAGTCACGCTTTCTCAGAACCAAGAAGAAGGGTCACCAGACTCAAAATGTTAACACGGTCTTCTCTCCATAGATGCTGCCAGACCTTTCTCCAGCAATTTCTGTTCTTGCTTTTTATAAAAATTTTTATATAAACAGATTTTTTGAAATATTCATAAAATCGCGCAATACCTGTTATAGAGTCGTAGAGTTGTACAGCATGGAAACAGACCCTTCGGTCCAACTTGTCCATGCCAACCAAATATCCTAAATTAATCTAGTCCCATTTACCAGCATTTGGTCCATATCCCTCTAAACCTTTCCTATTCATATACCAATCAGATGCCTTTTAAATGTTGTAATTGTACCAGCCTCCACCACTTCCTCTGCCAGCCCATTCCGTACATGTATCAGCCTCTGCATGAAAAAATTGCCCCTTAGGTCCCTGTCAAATCTTCCCCTCTCACCATAAACCTATGTCCTCTAGTTTTGGGCTTCCCTACCCTGAGGAAAAGACTTTGACTATTCACCCTATCCGTGCCCCTCATAATTTAATAAAACTTCTATAAGGTCAGCCCTCAGCCTCCGATGCCTGGGAGAAAATAGTCCCAGTCTATTCAACCTCTCCCTATAGTTCAAACCGTCCAACCGTGGCAACATCCTTGTACATCTTTTCTGAACTCTTTCAAGATTACCAAATTCTATTCCTTGTTACAATTTTTTGGCCATGCTTTCTGTGATTAATTTTGTCATTGTAAACTGCTAGGTCAACACCTTTGTTCATTTTTCCATATTAAATGTAACTAGAGTCCCAAGTTTCCACCATTATGTGGATCTACAGAGCAAGTCTCTGAGTCCCTCTGTCTCATCATGTTGCAAAGAAAACCAACTGAGCTGAGGGCATTGCCTCAGGTTATTGATCAGGACCAGATGAGAAAATAACCAGTACTTTGGCTCAGTGTTCCCTCTAAGTCCTTCCATCCACGTGGAATAAATTTTGTTACGTGCGCCAATGTAGAGATGGATGCCACATTAGGAACAGAAAACCGGTTTTGTTTTCTTTGTTGCTTCATGGGATGTGGCCGTTGCCGAAAAGGCTAGCATCTGTAGCTTATCCTTAACTGTCCTTGAACAGAGTGGCTTGGTGGCAGTTAATGGTCAACCACACAGCTGTAGGTCTGGATGCCAACCAGGTAAGGATGGCTGATTTCCATCCCAAAAGGACATCAGTGAACTAGATGGGTTTCAATAACAAAATCAATAATAGATTAACGTTCCCCATTACCGACGCTAAATTTCAAAATTTGAAATTAAATTCTGCTGGCTGCCAAGGTGGGACCACCAGTACAAGTCTCCTACACTCCATGTAACTCCTTACCCCACCAAAATATTGGCTGTCTTCTATTCTGCAAAGTCAGAAGTCACACGACACCAGGTTATAGTCCAACAGGTTTATTTGAAATCACCAGCTTTCACAGTGCTACTCCATTGTCAGGTGAAGTTCACAAATGCATGGGAGATGTACATGGGAGCGTTCACTTCACCTGATGAAGGAGCAGCACTCGGAAGCTTGTGATTTCAAATAAACCTGTTGGACCGTAACCTGGTGTCATGTGACTTCTGATTTTGTCCAACCCAATCTAACACCACCACCTCCGCCTCAATTCTGCGTATAGAGGAATCTAGCAAGAGGAATCCACTCCCTGCAAACCTTCCTCCCAAATAGCTGACTCCAGACACGCACACATTTTATCCGGAGACCAGAAATATTCCCTGCGTAGGGAATTACAGGTCCAGGGATAACACAGAAGGACAACTCTACCTTCAGTATTTCTGAAACAAGATACACTCCACCTTCCTGCTCTTCCAGAAGGAGCTACATCTGCAAGTTGAACGGGTCGGAAAGAGTTTATTCTTCAGCTCCCCATGCGTTTGGAATGTAGTTACCTCCTCAGGCAAATGAGTTCATGAGACCAGCTCTGTGTGGAGTAAAACCCCACACCACACAATATCTATTCTAGTTTTTATCAGTGTAGGGTGGATGTGAAATTCCCTCAAATTTTGTTGCATAATCCTCAAATCTACTTCTGTACTTCATTAAATGAACAATTGCACGGTAACATTTATAGGAATGGTCAACTGGAAGCTTGTCATCTGTAAAAGCTTTGTTCTCGTATTAGAGATTTGAGCTGGACACTATTTTGTTGATATATACATTTCCCATGCATGTGTGAATAAATGTTCAAACTTTCATAGAATCCCTACAGTGTGGAACTAGGCCCTTCAGCCCAACAAGTCCACACTGACCCACACAACATCCCACCCAGACCCATCCCCCTATAAACCCACCCAACCTACACATCCCTGAACACTATGGGCAATTTAGCATGGCCAATCCACCTAGCTTTCTTTTTCTAATGCCTAATTTTCTACAGAAATCCTGAATGTCCCTCCCACCTCAGCACTATACAAATTAGTCATGTAGCTCTGAACTTGTATTGGCAGCCCATCCTCATCCCAGCAAGAAATCACTTTTTGCACTCATCCCAAACTACGCTTCAGTAGAAGCAGATCTTTTTGTACCATGTGCACAAACAACAGATTGCATATACAATGTTTTGATTGACTCATGAATCATTTACCCTCTCATCATCAGAAAGGGTCTAGGCCCGAAACGTCAGCCTCTCTGCTCCTATGATACTGTCTTTTCCAGAGTTTGGAAACACTGCACCTCACTTGTATGATCCTGACTTGCAAGATTGCATATAGCAATGAGAGTCAAGGAACTGTTCGAGCATGTGGGGCATCACAGGCAGAGATCAAATTGCATTGAACACCCTAAAAATCTAAATATAAAACCTTCCAGCAGGGTGTTGTACCAGTGTTCAGGAGTATAAACCCCAGTTAATTTTCTCCTGGGTATTGTAAAGGCATTATCCAGATTGAGATCAGGAATTCAGCGCACAGATTTGAGATGACACCTGGGATTTAATGGTTTGCTTGTCTCATCAACTTTCTGAATAATTTTATGAACAGGGAAGACATAATTTAAGCATTAAAACGTATTGTGCTTTTTCGCAAGGAATAGGTTAATAGTGAGCATTACAATTGACTTTTTTTTTCATCCGTTCACAGGATGAGGGCGTCACTGGCTAGGCAGCATTTATTGCCCATCCCTAATTACCCAGAGGGCAGTTAAGAGTCAACCACATTGCTGTGGGTCTGGAGTCACATGTAGGCCAGACCAGGTAAGGAAGGCAGTTTCCTTCCCTAAAGGACATGAGTGAACCAGATGGGTTTTTCCCTCTGTCAGCAATGGATTCATGATCATTAGACCATCAATTCCAGATTTTTGAAGTAAATTCAAATTCTACCATCTGCCCTTGCGGCATTTGAACTGGGTCCCCTGAACATTATTTGGGTCTCTGGATCATACTACTAGGCCATCACCTCCACCTTAGTGTAATGCAGAGTGTAGGGAGGGGTAAAATAAACAGTATTGGTTTCTCTGTATTGAAAAGTACCTACTGCAGCTGGGAGTGTGAATATGTAATGATGTAACTGGATATTATTATTATTCATAGGAATATTCGATTGGAAATTTGCATCTGTAAAAATTGTATGAAAACCTTTGTTCTTATCATAAAGATTTGAGCTGAACACCATTTTCTTGTTATGTATACCTCCCAAGCATGCATAAATGTTTAAACAAAGGGACCTGAATCTCGTCTAGTCTAAGAGGAGATAAAGGGTTAAATTCATCCTTCCTAGTCAGCATTTTAATATACTTTTTAAAGACAATAGCATCGCTCCAGGGCTAGATCCAAGCCTAGATCGAACAACCTTACATAAAACAGTCTCTACCTGTTGTATGAGTTGACAAAGAGGTGAAGGTTCTCCTGGTTGATGTCCTGGGAAATATGCAGCCGATAGGTCTGGATCAATTCCAAGTTTGTTTCCAGCTCCTCCTATCAGGACAACGGTTTAAGGAGAAGGAGAAAATACGGGAAAAAAAAAAAACAGGTTATCCTTGGGAAAATGAAACTGCAGTGAGCAACAAACAACAAGATGGTGCTGGGCACTTTCCTGCACCAAACTGCTCACTGTTTACTGATATCCCATGCTCCTGGTGAAGATCACTAAATCAGATCCCCACACTACAGCTTGCTGTGTACAGCTCAAGAACCATGTTTCCTAGGATCCGACAGTGAATTCTCTTTGACAGTACAACATGAGGTGTACAGTGCTTTGGCAATTCCTACCATTATGAAAGCTCTATATATTGTACTTTGTGAGTGTTAAATTCACCAAGTCTTTCATATAAAATGACAAAAGATATAGAAACCAAAAGAGTGAGAAGGTGAGAGACCGTCAAAATATCTCAACAACAGCGAGTGTATAGAACATGAAGGTAATTGTTGGATGGCATAAAGTATTGCAATTACAATGAAACTGTGATATATCATAGTCATAGAATCCCTACAATGTGGAAGCAGGCCATTCGGCCCATCAAGTCCACACCGACCCTCCAAAGAGCATCCCACTCAGACCAATCCCCCTATCTCTGTAACCCTGCATTTTCCATGACTAATCCATCTAATCTACACATCCCTGGACACTATGGGCAATTTAGCATGGCCAATCCACTTAATCTGCACATCTTTGGACTGTGGGAGGAAACCAGAGCACCCAGAAACCCACGCAGACACAGGGAGAACGTGCAAACCCCACACAGACAATTGGCGGAGGCTGGAATCGAACTCGGGTTCCTGGCGCTGTGAGGCAGCAGTGCTAACCACTGAACCACCGTGCCACCCTTGGTCAGATTAATCATAATTCCAGTTATGATGAAATCATCAGCCAGTCCTGCCAGCAGAATATTGGAATTCATTGAGCAATGCCCATGAGAAGCCGAGCTTTCACACAGGCTATGCTGGATTAGCTGAACTTGAAAACAGGCAATATCGCATCAGCTGCTTCGTTACACTGCTCGTGGTTGTCTGGTGTGAACAATAGGTGCCTAAAAAGGAAAAGCTTGAATAGATTTCAATTTAAGAGAAAAAGGCAGAAAGAATCATAGAATCCCTACAGTGTGGAAACAGGCCCTTCGGCCCAACAAGTCCACACTGACCCTCAAAGTATCTCACCCAGACCCATCCCCTATAACCCACCTAATCTACACATCCCTGAACACAATGGGCAATTTAGCATGGCCAATCCACCTAACCTGCACATCTTTGGACTGTGGGAGGCAACCAGAGCACCTGGGGAAAACCCACGCAGACACAGGGAGAACAAGCAAACTCCACACAGACAGACAGTTGCCAGAAGGTGGAATCGAACCCGGGTCCCTGGTGCTGTGAGGCAGCAGTGCTAACCACTGAGCCACCGTGCTGCCAAGGAGACAAAGATTTGGAGCATTTTCCAATGAAATTCCTGAAACCTTCTTTTGAAGGTGTAACCCGCTCAAGCTGTAGTCTGGTTGCCTTCAGTGCAGAAAGCGACTGGGGAATGTAAATTTATTGAACTTTCGGTGGGAAATGCTCCAAGTCTTTTTGTCTTTTCTCTTAAACTGTAACCTGTCCAAAAGACAGAAAGACTCAACACATTTCCATTCAAGACCCCGATCTTGTACTTCTTGCTGCAATTCTACAGGACTTTGTTGAGACCACACCTGGAATATTGTGTGCAGTTCTGGTTTCCTTATCTGAGAAAGGACGTTCATGATGTAAAGGGAGTGCAGCAAAGGTTTACTAGACTGACTCTTAGGATGGCACAACTGACATACACAAGGTGAGGTTGAATCAGTTAAGGTTATATTTGTCGGCTTTCAGAAGAATGAGAGGGGAATCTCATAGATGCATATAAAATTCTAACAGGACTAGATGCAAGAGAGTGTTCCCAATAGAAGAGGAGTTCAGAACCAGGGGTCACAGTCCATTTAGGACTGAGATGAGTAATTTCTTCACCCAGAGAGTACTGAGCCTGTGGAATTCGCTACACAGAAAGGGTTGGAGGCCAAAACACTATGATTTCAGGAAGGAGTTGGTTATTGCAACTAGGGCTATCCTAGAATCCCTACAGTGTAGAAACAGGCCCTCCGGCCCAACAAGTCCACACGGACCCTCAGAGCATCCCATCCAGACCCATTCCCCCTGTAACCCACCTAATCTACATATCCCTGAACAATATGGACAATTTAGCATGGCCAATCCACCTAACCTGCACATCTTTGGACTGTGGGAAGAAACCGGAGCATCCGGAGGAAACCCACACAGACCCTGGGAGAATGTGCAAACTCCACACAGACCGTTGCCAGGGGATGAAATCGAACCTGGGTCCCTAGCGCTGTGAGGCAGCAGTGCTAACCACTGAGCCACCGTGCCGCTAAAATGATAGAACAGGCTATTGAGTCAGATGATCAGCCATGATCATACTGAATGGTGGGGCAGGCTTGAAGGGCCGAATGGGCTACTCCTGGTCCTATTTTCTATGTTTTTGTTCCTTATTCACTTCCCCATTGGCGAGGTGGTGTGGTTACTACTTCAGGGCCACATTGCAAGGGTGGACTTGAATTTCACAGGGATTCCTGTGCATTTCAACTTATCAGCATCTCAATTCTAGCATGAGCATTTTATGTCATTTATCTTTGATGCATCCCTCACAAATACGGTATATCCCAGATTGCCAGGATCATATATGTACTCTTACAATCACTTGCCCTACGTATTATACTGGGCACACCTGTCCATGCAAACAAAGGCAAAGTAGATACTGAAAATCTAACATAAAGGATGGAAAATGCTGGGAACATACAGCAAGCTAGCAGCAGTTCTCGAGAAACAGGATTAACTGTTTCAGATCAACGTGTTTTTGTCACATTGTTGTAATGAAAGGGCACAGACCCAAAGTGTTAATTTTCTCTCATTCCTTGAATGCTGCCTGATCTGCTGTGTTCCCAGAGTTTTCTGCTTTTATTTAAAGGACATCGTTGAGCGAGTTGTTCACAATCTGTTGAAATTAAAGAACTTTATCTTAAAGCAGAAGGTGATGGGGGGATAACACAGTATGGAGCTGGATGAACACAGCAGGCCAGGCAGCATCAGAGGAGCAGGAAAGTTGATGTTTTGCGTCTGGAGCCTTCTTCAGAAATGGGGGAGGGGAAGGGGTCTCTGAAATAAATAGAGAGAGGGGGAGGCGATGATAGAAGGTGGATAGAGGAGCAGATAGGAGGAGAGAAGACAGACAGGTCAAGGAGGTGGGGATGAAGCCAGTAAAGGTGAGTGTAGGTAGGGAGTTGGGATGGGGGTTGGTTAGTGAGGAGAGAGAGGCAGGTAGGTGGGAGGGAAGACGGACAGGTCAAGGAGGCGGGGATGAAGCTAGTAGATAGGAAGTGGGGATGGGCGTTGGTCAGTGAGGTGGGAGAAAAGACAGACAGGTCAAGGAGCCAGGGACAAGAGGGGCTGGTCTTGGGATGAGGTCAGGGGTGGGGAGATTGAGGTGATGGGGGGAGGTGTTAGCCTCGTGGTATTATCACTGGACTGTTAATCCAGAGACCCAGACAATATTCTGGGGGCCTGGGTTCAAATCCCAGGGCAGATGGTGGAATTTGAATTCAATAAAATGTCTGGAATTAAGAATCTAATGATGATCGTGAATCCATTGTCAGAAAAACCCATTAGGTTCACTTATTTTCTGAAGAAGGGCCTAGGCCCGAAACATCAGCCTTCCTGCTCCTCTGATGCTGCTTGGACTGCTGTGTTCATCCAGCTCTACACCTTGTTATCTCAGAAAATCTCAGGGATTTGTTTGTAATAATCTCCCAGTTGACTGTTAGCCCCTTTGATCGTCTCATGTCTTCAAAAGAAGCACTAATTAGAACAGTACAGCACAGTACAGGCCCTTCGGCCCATGAATTACCCAATTCAGACCTAAAATCACTTCAGCTCTCCTTCTGCAAGGATCTGTCAAATAGGCTTTTGTCAGTATTCTCCTCACAAACCTGGTCCATCACACCCCACTTGAAATTATACGCATTTTGTCCCTTTTAAATACAGAAGTAGGTTCAGAGGAAGTTTCAAACTGCAGAAAACCACAAGAATAACAGATTTGCTTAAGCAACACAATAAGGAAGTCATTTCCAGATTTTAATGGACTGGTTTATAGATCCTGAGGGGTAAAAGACCAAATTATTAATTCCCATTTGTGCAACTGAGCCTCTGTTTTGAAATCAAACACAAAAGATTGAGGTATAATTCACAATAATATAAGCCAGGCAGATCATCTGCTTGTGTCTTTGGAATTATTTAATAAGTTTTCTGTTAATTGCTTAATGTGCTGGCGGGTGGATTGTCACCTAACAATGTTATAGAGTCAGAGTTATACAGCAGGGAAACAAACCCTTCGGTCCAACCTGTCCATGCCAACCAGATATCCTAAATAAATCTAGACCCATTTGCCAGCATTTGGCCCACATCCCTCTAAACCCTTCCTATTCATATACCCATCCAGATGCCTTTTAAATGTTGTAATTGTACCAGCTTCCACCACTTCCTCTGGCAGCTCATTCCATACACGCACCACCCTCTGCAATGAAAAAGTTGCTCCTTAGGTCCCTTTTAAACCTTTCCATTCTCACATTAAACGTAGTTTGGACTCCCGCACCCCAGGAAAAGATCTTGTCTATTTACCCTATCCACACCCTCGTGATTTTATAAACATCTATAAAGCCACCCCTCAGCCTCTGACGTTCCAGGGAGGATAGCCTAGTATATTCAGCCTCTCCCTATAACTCAAGCCCTCCAACCCTGGCAACATCCTTGTAAATCTTTTCTGAACCCTTTCAAGTTTCACAACATCCTTCCTATAGCAGGGAGACCAGAATTGCAAGCAAGTATTCCAAAAGTGGCCTAATCAATGTCCTGTACAGCTGCAAAGTGACCTCCCAACTCCTACACTCAATGCACTG